TATTATCGACATCAGGATCCGTTAGTGACGTAACATAATGCGTAAACATTGTTAACTGTAATTTAAATAAATTATTATATATATATATATATATTGTATATTGTTCAGTGCATATCTTTCTCAAATTTTCCCGGCTTTTTTGATTGCGTAAAGTTAATATTAAACTATGTGTTAATATTAAACTACTTCAGCCATTAATAGCGTTTTATAATAGAAAATGTTTCAAAAATGCTTATTGATATTTAGTGGTATATCGACTATATCTTTTTACATTTCGTAACCGCGCATTGTGTTTCGCTAATAGCAACTATATAATAGAGATCATAATAATAGAGAGGGTTTCACCGTACACGCGCTTACGTAAGTTATAGAACCTCCGTTACGCAGCGGGTTTCGATAGTATTGAATCCTCATACAGTAAATTAGATATAACTAATTGCATTATCCGTCTCTGGGACACAAGTCCCGCGATGGCACTCTCTCATTTGAGCGGCGGGCAAGCTCAAGTTCATATCGAAGTTTAACAGGACGCCTTAACAGCGTTCCGCTTAAAGTTGCCGAACCATGACAAAGAAGTTTGAATTTAATTGGCGCATCGAAGTGCCGGAGCTCCTGAGAAAGGGTGCAGTATTCGATCGATGGTTCGAGGACAAAGAGACGACTGAATATGAACCGAGCTGTCTATTCAAAGTTGACGAATATGGATTTTTCGTTTATTGGAAAAGCGACGGCAAGGTAATCTATCTCGCGTAGTTTTTGTAGCTTTGTTTCTCAGCAAATAAATATTGTTCTATTATTTTTCAACGAACGGCGCACACATATAACTCGCGATTTTTTGATAGGACGGAGAAGTTATAGAATTGGCTCAAGTGAGCGACATTCGTTACGGTGGCACGCCGAAGGTAAATTTTACTCATAAATAAGCTCAAAAGATTATAATAAACAATTTTTTTGTCGAATAACATCGGCCAATTTATCTAGGATCCAAAATTATGCAATAAGTTAAATAAACATGGAACGTTAGAACAAATAGACGAGAAAAGTTTAACTATATGTTCTGGAGTAGATTATACGAATATACACTACCAGCACATTGTGTGTCCGGATGCACAAACAGCTAAGGTAATGAAATATAACTATATATGTATTAACTTTAGAAAATCTTTGGGGATTATTTAATTGACCTAATTCCTAATGCTCTATTTCCGTAGTAATTCAGTTATCCGTATTTGACTTAGTTAAATAAAATTTTATTAATTTTAGTTTAAAAATTTTAAATTTTAATTTAATTAAATAAAATTTTATTTAATTACACACCTATAGTAATATGTCTCACATTCTTTATTTTGAATAATTACGTTCACTAAACTTGTGTTGATTTATCGTCAAATAACATTGTCTTATTTAGCTTCTCTAATGCTAACTTGTGGTTAATCAATTCAGGATTGGCAAGCTGGTTTGCGCTTAATTACGCACAGCACAAAAGCATGTAATATTTGTCCAACAACGCAGCTTATGAAACAGTACGTATACATTAATATGTATTCACCAATTTGACTCTAATGTAATTTCACAAAAATAAAATAAATATTCGTCTTTATACTAACGTTGTTTCTACTTTAATCATAAAATGAGACTTAACTGATTACTAATCAAATCTGTCAGTTGGATGCGACTAAGTTTCCAAGTCGATCCGAAAGGAAAGGTCCCCGTGAAAGTGATATCAAAGACTTTTGCATCCGGAAAGACCGAGAAACTCGTTTATCAAGGTTTAGCGGAACTAGGTTTGCCTAGTGGAAAGGTGAGTCATTAAATACGGGAATTTAAAAAAAATTAATTAAAGTGCGATCAAGGATTTACTTACGAAAATTTTAAAATAATCGCCAGAGTTAGTATTTACTAAACTTTATTATTACTTTATGTTAAAATGTGTTGCTTGCAAATATTTTTTGCGCATGGATATTTTCGTAAAAAATAATTTGTAAAAATATAATTTCATAAGATTTATGTATACACAAGGTATTTCGGACTAACTATATCATCCGTTAATAGCAAATTATTTGAAGATGAAAATTTGCACCAAAATATCGAAACTACAATAATTTTTAAGATTGTCAAGGATTCACGCGCTTAAGCACGTCGCATATTGATTTTTATATCTTTATCATATGAAGAACCTCAGAAATCTGTTATCAAACGGTAATACGATTAATCTGTGAGACACTTTCCATATTTTATATTATTTTACAATTTCTTCTCTTAATGATATTAAAATAAAACAATTTTTTTTTATCTTCAAATAATTTGAGGAATCTGCTATCAACGAATGATATAATTGGTCTGAGACACTCCGTATAAATTTTATGTGTTTCTAAATAGTATTATTTATTTAACTAGCAAAAGACTATAGGCAATATATTTTGCAAATTGCTACTTGTCATGTTTTAGAACGACAAAATAGAGCCAGAAGCTTTTACATTCGAGAAGTTTTACGCCATGTACTTCAAGATTTGCCCTAGGAATGATATCGAAGAACTTTTTCAATCAATGTAAGTACTCAACCCGACCATAAAAAAGAGCGACTTTTAATTTCAAATACATTATGGAGGAAGCGTCATCGTTTTCATGCCGTTTTACAGCACGAAAGGGAAAACCGATGCCATAAATTTGTTGCAATTGGTAGAATTTATGAACACAAAACAAAGAGATCCACGACTCAACGAGATTTTATATCCTCTGTATACCGAAAAGAGATGCAAGGAAATAATCAATGACTATGAGTTGAATGATAATATGAAAGCGGAAAGTAAGTCTCTGCGCATTTCGTTCTTATTTTGTCATTATCTCTTTTTATATCAAAACAGGGTCTTTTAATATTTGATTTTACGTCACATGCGTACAGATAAGTTGACGAAAGATGGCTTTATTCGTTACTTAATGTCGGATGAGAACGCGCCGGTGTTTCTAGACAAATTAGAAGAGTGGATGGAGATGGATCAGCCGCTCTCGCATTATTATATTAATTCAAGTCACAACACTTATCTCAGTGGTCGTCAAATCGGTGGCAAGAGCACCGTCGAGATGTATCGACAAGTTCTACTTGCTGGTTGCAGGTAATACAATTACCCTTGTTAAGCTAGCACCCCCATCACAAAAAATTAAAATAAAATATATACCAAAATAAAGTGCTATTTAGGTGCTAATTTGGTGCTAATTTAATCCGCGTGCGTGTATCGACTAAAGAAATGTTTGAAAATAATTCTGAGAATCTGAAAGAAATTTATCTCGATTGCAGATGCGTCGAGTTAGATTGTTGGGACGGTAAAGGCGAAGATGAGGAGCCCATCATCACCCACGGCAAAGCTATGTGCACCGACATCCTCTTCAAGGATGTGATCTACGCTATAAGAGACACCGCGTTCGTCACTACCGATTATCCTATAATTTTGAGTTTCGAAAATCATTGTTGCATGAAGCAACAGTATAAACTGGCAAAATATTGCGACGAAATATTCGGGGACCTGTTGCTAAAAGAGCCTTTGAAAGATTATCCCGTGAGTAATCGCGAGATGTCGCGTTTAATGATTGCAATTAGCGGATTAGAATCGATATCATATATCATACGTGTATTATATCAGCTTGAACCTGGATGCCCCCTCCCTCCGCCGAACGCATTGAAGCGCAAGATACTGATAAAGAACAAACGATTGAAGCCGGAAGTGGAAAAAACCGAGCTCGAGCTCTTCCGTGCAGGACAATTTGAAGTCAAAGATGAAGTGACAGAGGATGCCAGTGCACCAGTAGCAGCTCCACCTCCCGAGCCGCCGAAGGCAATTAATTACATTAACGAGATACAATAATTGCATTATTTTAAAAAGATGGAAACTAGATTAATCTTATTCCGTCTTTTTCTCTTTCTGGAAAGCTATAAATTTTGAAATTATCTTTAATGCACTTGCGATTGTGTAGGAAGGCGAAGCTGCTCCCGGCGGCGAAGGAACTGAAGAGGTGCAAGCGGTTCAATACACAGGCAGTACCATGGCAGTTCATCCTTGGCTCTCATCGATGATAAACTACGCGCAACCAATAAAGTTTCAAAGTTTTGAAACTGCGGAAAGTACGTGGTCTATTGATGCAATAAAAATGTCTATGTATGTTAAAATAGTAGTTCGAAGTTTTATAAAAAATTGTCGTTCTTGATTGTTTTCCCAGTAATCGAGAATGCTAAAATAATCAGTAAATTAAAACAATCTTTAATTATTTAAAAACTTCATCGTGTCAATTTGAAGCATTCTCTGTATCTAAAAAATTTTTTTAATTTTATGCAATATTTTTTTTGGATCAATATACGCCCGCGACCATTTTTACCGTTATGACAACAAATAAAAAATGCAAAAAGATAGTTTAATAAATATGTATGTGTATAGATACTAGTTTTTGCGAATTTCACGTACAAAAATTTACTTGAAATTAAAATGGGCTGCCGAAATAGCGGGTAGAAATGCGTATATCCTGAAGGCTTAAGGAGGGTTAAATGAATGAGCGTACGCGTCGCGTGTGCGACATGTACTAATGTCCCGACCCCGACGTTGCAGGCAAGAATATACATCATAATATGTCTTCGTTCTCCGAGACTGCCGCTCTTAACTATCTGAAAACTCACTCCGTGGAGTTCGTTAATTACAACAAGCGGCAAATGAGTCGAATATATCCAAAGGGCACGAGGGCTGATTCGTCGAATTATATGCCCCAGGTAACAGCAATAATATACAAACGCGCTTAAACTCCCCATGGAGTTATTGCTCATGTATTTCTGTTATCTAACGCTATACAGACTACAGATTATCTAACAATATGTAGAACAATACACCAAAAGTCACGCACTCTCTCGTAGATGCTGTTTCCCGCTTTGATTTACAATATCCAAATTGTACATAAAGAGAATATACGATTTTTTATACATCTTTTCTATGCGACACATTTTTCTAGGTTTTCTGGAACGCCGGCTGTCAAATGGTAGCTCTGAATTTCCAAACGCCCGATTTGCCGATGCAGCTCAATCAGGGGAAATTCGAGTACAACGGCACGACGGGCTATCTACTAAAGCCCGATTTTATGCGAAGACCTGATCGAAGCTTCGATCCTTTTTCCGAGGACGTCGATGGCATCATCACCGCGCAGTGCTCAGTTCAGGTCATAGCCGGACAATTTTTGTCAGACAAAAAGGTGGGCACGTACGTCGAAGTGGATATGTACGGTCTACCGGCAGACACGATAAAGAAAGAATTCAGGACACGAATGGTGCCGGCGAATGGTCTGAATCCGGTTTACAACGAGGAACCGTTTTTATTCCGGAAAGTCGTGCTTCCCGATCTGGCGGTGCTTAGATTCGGTACTAATGCGTGTTTTTTCTATTATAAATTTGGAGTAAAATTCTTTTAAATAAAAATAGAAATTTTTGGAAAACAAATAACGAATGTCGGCGAACGGAATATTTTACAATTATGTCTTTTTCGCGCAGGTGTCTATGAAGAGAATGGCAAACTACTCGGCCAACGAATTTTGCCATTAGACGGTCTTCAAGCCGGCTATAGGCACATCTCTTTGAAGACTGAAGCTAATTTTCCGATGGCATTGCCCATGCTTTTCTGCAACATAGAGCTAAAGATTTATGTGCCTGACGGATTCGAAGGTAGCGTAAAGTTTGCGGTTTAAAAATAATATCTAAATAATAACTCTCCGCGTTGCTTTCGCTCAATGCCCAATTTCCAACAATAATTTCTGATTTTAGACTTTATGGCCGCCTTGTCGGATCCAGGCGGCTTTTCCAAGGCTGCTGAGAAGCAAACCGAAACAATGAAGAATCTCGGAATAGAACAGACGGATTCCAAAGCGGAAGCTAAGAAGAAGAAAGAGGAAGAAGCAAAGAGAGGTAACAAATTATATATTCGATACGATTTTTTTATGTTTGTTTAAAAAATAATATCAGATCAAGAAAAAGAAAATTATATTGAATATTATTGTACGATTCTAGAGGAATTGAAATTGGAACCTATCACGTTAGACTCCTTGAAAAAAGAGAAGGGGTTCAAAATGGGTAAGAAGCATCAGAAAGAATTGGATGCGATGAGAAAAAAACATTTGAAAGAGAAACAAACAATGCAAAAGAACCATTGCAGCACTATCGAGAAGCTCACCAAAGGAAAAGAGTGCGTTTTTTAAAATTCAATTACATAAAAATTTTTTACCTCAATATAATTCTCGAGCAAATTTTTAAGAATTTTGCATTTTCAGTAAAACTGCTCTAGCGCAAGATGCCAATTTGAAAAAAATTATTAGTGAACAAACGGCTCAATGGTCCGCTATGGTGGAGAAGCAAAGAAAAGAGGAGTGGGAATTATTGAAGAATCAAACACAGAGCGCACGCGATGAATTAAAGAGATTGATCGAGATCGTGCAAGCCACGCAAGTTAAACAGATGCAAACGAAACATGACAAGTTAGTTTACCATCTACTTTGATATAATTCTCACTGATTAATCACAATAATATAAATTTTAATTTTCCTTTGCCCATGTTTCTTAAATAAAACGCGCAATAATATTGCAGAGATATGAAAGACTTGAATTCCAATCAAGCAAAAGTGTCTGTGGAAACGGCGAAGGAAGTGATGAACGATAAGACTTTGAAGACGAAGGGTGATAAGGACAGGCGGCTTCGCGAAAAGAAGCAGCAAAACACGAAGAAATTCGTGGATGAGAGGAAGACCATCGAGATTAAGCAGAGTCGTGAAAAAGAAAAGCTAAAAGTTACGCACGAAAAGCAAGTGGCAAACTTGGACAACGATATTGAAGGGGTAAGTTTTTTATGTTTGCGTAATTTTTGTGTCATATAAATTAATGCATATTTAATTATATTGCAGAGTATTGAATTGTATACGAAGGAAGCAGTTGAATATGATATATCCTGCAAGGCGCAGTTCTACGTATAATTTTTTTAAGCATTTCTTTGACGTGATTATATTTTATTAATATTTTTGTCTTATATTTTGTGCTAAATATATATATTTATTTTTTATCTTTTATTTTTCCATCTCTTATATTATTATTGCATATGGTTTTTTATACCATAATAATAACTATAGCAAAGAATTTTTAGTAATATAAAGAATTAATTATATATAAAGAATTTTTAGTCATCAGTTTGAATTATTTATAAATAAATCTATATGCTGATTTATATATATATATCACAATAAATAAAAAAATTTTATTTTAAAAATATCTTTGTAAAATATTCTTGAATTTCTGTTAGGCTATATATATGCACATTTCTTTAATTACTCATAAAAATATATTGAAAGTAAATTATTCATTTAAATAAAATACACTTTTATTTTTGTGACTATTTAAGAAAAAGAAAGAGCTGATAATTTTTTCTTAAGCAATTGCAAAGATAAAAGTGTGTTTTATTTGATACTTTTAATATATTTTTATGAATAATTAAAGAATTGTGCAAGAAACATATATTAAACACATTCGAATATTCTGCTTAATGATCAGCACTGACCAAATAGATACAGTCATTGCAGGTATGCAATTGTAATAATGCATATATGTAATTATGTATATATTAGTAAATAATGCATAAATAACGATAACCACATGCGCGTTGCGCGATTACTGTGTAACATTGCATCATTCAATAAAGATTTCCATTTCAATGGTTGGTCTATTTTCGATTGATATCAACATATCAATTCTTGTTAATAGAGAACGTAATGATGAAGTATTTAAAGTCAAATATACAATTAAAATTCAGTCATAATTTAATTCTGAGTTTCAAAATGAGCAACAGCGAGATTGCTCGGATAATTATGAAAGTTATAACAAAATTGTAATGAGAAAAGATATCATGTACTCACTCTGATATTTTTTGTAGCTATTATGCAAAGAAGACTTTCTTCGCGAAGCGTTTCATATTTAAAAACCTCTCAAATTTTATAATTTTATAATTCCGCAAAAAAGAAGAATCATTCGCAATCATTACGCCACAAAAACAAGTTAATTGCATAAATTTTTGTATAACCAATTATATCAATAATCATATCATCAATAATCACTTTTTTATTACAGCAGTGAGCTGCACATCTGAAATCGTACTTTGCTTTTTTAGAAAAATTAAATGATTTTTATTAAATAATAAAAGTAATTAATAAGATTTTAATAAGATTAATAAGATTTTTGAGCGAAAAATATATTAAACATTATAATCTCAAAATTTATACTTTCTAAATTGTAATTTCTAAATTAACATTTCGAATATATGTCTTTATAAAATTTTTTGTTATACATACATATATGTTTATATAATTTATTTCGAAAATTTTGTAATGCTACAATTTAAAAGTAATAAATTGTATACATATTTGTATAATTTGATATTTTTTGTTATTAAGATAAAAAGAAAATAGTTTTCTACTATATTTTTTTGATTTATAATATAAAAATGTAAATTGCAAAAAAAAATGTAATTATCAAAGTACGATTCCTAATTATTATATGACATTGACGAATAAAAAGACAATAAATATCAATTTTAAATAATTACGCAAATATAATAAATAAGTTTTCACGACTCACCGGTCGTTGTACTCTAGCTGAATACGCCTTCAGCTGCACCTGGAAAAATTAATATACATTTTAATTATTATGAATTAATACATTTTATATATGTTGATTATTATGTATTATTCAATTATTTCCATTTTGATTAAAACATAATTATATGCAATAAATTGCATAAATAATTATCTCACAATTTTAATGAATATTCAACAAATGTTATAATAAATATTTTAATAAATATTTTCAAATATCTTAATACATATTTGATAAACACGTATTGTAATTATGTACGCAGGTATATATTATTACACCATCATGTACATATTTAAATGAACAAATAATTATGCTTACCAACTAGAGTATTGTAGTTTACTCCATTCGCTGCAGATTCTGTCTCGATTCATCCTAGCAAAGTATGAGATGCATCAGTTCCATCGAAAAATTGATGAATATCTGAAATCAATACTTGTTAATTAGGCACACTGCCGAAAAATCATGATTGATATTGTAAATTTGCTACAATATATAAAACACAAGATAAAAATTCTTTGTGTTGCAACGTGCCTACGCACATAATTTTAAGATATTATTTTATTCATTTAGTGTCTGTTCGACATCCGTCTGTACATATATACATTCATCGTCATAGTGAACGAGGCAATGATTGTTTTGGTCGTGAAGGTTATAAGGTATGCACATAACTACGTTCTACTCGACTTAATTTCAATTAGCTGAGTTTCTAGATGCTACCATCTAATGAGAAATTCGCCATCTTTGATCGTCTTGAGTGTACATAGTGATCATTTTCGCGTGTCTATGGCATGGAAATTTATACTCACTGAACTTGTACCAGTTTGAATTTACAGTCCCGCCGCCAAAACGCCAACCCGGTCCTAACGATGCACTGCTGTAAATCGTGAATATTCGCGGTAAATCTACATTCCTGCAATCGCCCGTCATTTGAATCGGCACTCCCGATAAAAACTCACACATATACACTTATTATACACTTTTAACAAGTAAAATACACGGTTAATCGTGGAGCGTTCGCGAACGGACGTGTACAATGACAATGATTATGACGAAAGATGGCGCACGGATAGCTTCACATTATCGATATATTGGAATCGATATATTGAAATCGAAATATTCGACAATACGCGCGAATAATCAGTGTTTTCAAATGCGTAGTTTGTTAGAATTTTCATATTATGTATTCTCCTATTTATGTAAATAGTATATTTGACTTAAAGTAGTTATGTGTCATTATATTTAGATAACTACTATAAAAATTAATTTGTTAGTATTGATAAAAACTAAACTAACTTAAAATTAAAATTGAAATCTATTATATAATCAAAATAGCAATGTGTGCATGTAGTGCTATTAATTGTTCAATATTTAAAAATGTATATAATTATAATAAACATATATAATTATAACTTTTTCAAATATATGCTCAAAGTAAATTCATGGTCTTATTTAAAATATCTTTTTAATATCGTTTGGCGAGTAATTTTATACATTGAGTTTTTGTCTATTCTTATGATGCAAGAGAGAGAAGTATTAATATATACATATATAATTAAATAAATATTTATATACATTATCTTGAAATCCTTTTGCATCCTATTTAAGAATATACATCTGTATGCTCCAATCCTTGGACGAAATTTTGGATAAGTGGCATACGATACACATGCAAAGAAGCAATAGATCCGATACACGCTCCAATCCAATAAACTATCACATGTTCGAACGACGAGGTCCCCAGACAACCGTACTTCAAAGAAGTTGCCAATGCAGGATTGAAATAACCGCCGGTATAATCAAAGGCTGAAATGCGTCGCATGTATTGAAGATCAAGAATAAATATTTTATTTCGCACGAAACATTATAGAATTATTCGCTAACCTGCTACTACCATAGATGTCCCAACAAAAGCATCGATAATTGTACTAAATCTTGGATTCAATTCACCTAACACACGGGATACCACCCTACATATACATGTTGCGATGCATTCTACAAACGCTCCAATTATAGCGGATACCTAGAATTCGTCAATTAATCGATTTCATAATAAAATTATTCTAAATAAAATATACATACATTAATTGCCTACTATGCAAGTTATAATGTATTAACATTTAAAATCAATATTAATTAATAGCTAATAATTAAGTAAAATAATAATTAGTATTAATTTAAAAAGTTAATATTAACAGTTTATATAATATATAAAAGTTAGTATCATTTAGTAATAATACTTCTATGCAAATTAAGTCTTATAAAATAAAAATAATAATGATTTTTTACTTGTAAATCCGTAGTGCATTCTCCATAGGCTCTGTTCTTGTGTGTGGAAGCAAGTTGGAGAGCCCATAATATTTGAATGTATTTAAATATGATAAGACCGCCAGCCAATTGCGCACATATTGTCAGAAGAGCAACTCCGATGGGCTTCTTACCAACAGCTATATCTTCCATATGTGTGTAAGGACATGCTGAAGCCTCATCCCACATTATCGACCACCAAATCGTTAGAAGAAACAAATATAGCGCATACATCCATACTCCCCAATTGTCCGCGACTAAAGATAAAATGTGCATCAATTATTAAAAGTCAATTGTATGATATTGAATATATATTGATGCAAAAGAAATATTACAGAGAATCGACTTACTTATAATGAGTTCGAAACATGCTCCACAAAGTTCAGCTGTAGCTATAAATTCTAAAACCAAAGTCCTTGTGAGGGGACGAGAATCAAGATAAAATAACGTATATACCCTCAGCCAATATGCTATCCAAATTGTAAGTCCAATGTACACTGTAGACACTATCAAGTCTATTGACCCAGGCATTATCCTATTAAGGTATTTGCCATTTAAACAAGTGCAAAATCAGCATGATGAAAACGTATGAGCTTAATGAAGCACATCCGACATAATTCTACACACTAAAGAGACCTATAGTTGACACAAAACATGGTATAATTAAATTTAAAAAACAATATTTTTTTTATTGCCATCAAGATAAATGAATGAATATGCTGTTGTTAATTATTGAATATTTTTTGTATGGTAATATGAATTAAATAATATAAAGTAAAATGAACGCATTATGTAATCAATTAATTAATTCTACAGATTATAATTTTGCAACTTAATTGAAGTATAATGAAGAACTTACGAAGCAATCACTGAATCACCTGGTTATTACCTCAACTTGTATTGCCTCGATTTTCATAAATATTTATCGTAGAAAATATTCACATTGAGTAGAGCTTTGCGCGTAGCAGTTATTTAAAACTACAAGTATCAAGCATATTACGCGGATATGTCGCGACTATGTCGCGACTATGTCGCGCAGCTTTAAATAGCTTTCGTTGGAATCATCTCATAGCGTAGTATGATATAGCAATTGAGTTGCTATTGGTCGAAGACGCGAGGAATTCGAAATAACTGGCTCTCAGAAATTCTCAAAAAGATAAAATTGTATCACAGACCTATACCACTATTCAACTAATCTGGAAAAATGCACTTTCATCGTTTCGTTAACACAATCGATGAAAATTCTCGTAGGAAAACGCCCAGTTGGCACTGTACCAATTACGTCGCAAACAACGCAATATGTACATCTGACGCAGCCAAAACTTAACATTTTATTTTAAATGTGCCCTATAAAAAAACTTATTAGATTAAAAAACAATGATATTAAACAATTCATTACAAAATACATATCAAGATCAATTGTAGAAAAATACCAGACGTACAATCAGGAATCAAATCTGTAGTTTTATTCATCTTATGAAGAATTAACTACATATTTCATTATATAGATAAATGATTTCGTGTATTTATGCGAATGCAGATAAACATTAATTATTACTGTAAAAAAAGAAACATTTATTTACAGGAATCGACGGACTCTCCTTTGTGCCTCTTAGCACTCTGAGAGTCATCTTGATTCTGCGTCCGTGACATTAGCCTAGGAATTCGTTTAGCTTTTAGGTAAGACATCGTTTCACTCGACGATCTAAAAACCAATAAAATATTTAACATATTAACACATCTGTTATATTTATTTACATAAAAAAATATTTAAGGAATTCAATCTTTAGAAATTTTATCATACTTTTATTGGTACGGAAATGTGTTTCAGGAAAGCATTTCTGGAGAAGGCCAAGTTATAATTAAGAATTGCGGTGAGAGAACGAAATCAAATTAAGAATGGTTTGCATAGCCATAGGTTCGGTAATGCGGAAAACAATATTCATCCATTATAAAGCTATAAAAGATATATTATGTATACCTCGTTGGTTTTTGTTCAGCTAACATTTCCGTTGAATTATTTTCAGTCGAGTTAGAGCTGGTAGAAAGAGGAATGAACTGATAAGTTCTATTACCAAACTCATTATTTTGTTCGGTATTTTCTGTTACAATTGAAACAATACGTGTTTCTGTTTCTAAACTTGCAGATGCTTTTCTCTTGATCTCCGCCTCCGGTTTCGCAGTCTTTACGTCTGTATTATTTTCGCTCTTCGGTTTCAATTTGCCATCTTGCGTAGGAAAATTCACAGTAGGCAAATTAATAGTTTTATCACCTTTAGTGCTGTTCATCAATTTAATTAATAACTGCGATAATTCCTCCCTTTTCCTCGTCACAATAATCTCCTCAAACCACGTTTTTAGTGTTTTAATTGGCAAAGTATAATCTATAATTGGATCCTGAAAAAAGACGTGATCGAATTCATGTTAATGATTTATATAAGAAATGCTAAAAGTTTATGGGAATAAAAAAAACATTGAATGTATTTTAATGTCTTGTTTACCTGGAAAAAACTTTCCACATACTGCAACACGTACAATCCACAGTCCGTAAAATTTGATTGTTGCGGTACTTTAGGACACGCGCCTTTGATAGTATCTTTCGAAAATGTCTTTTCTACGCCAAGTTTGGCAAGATGTTCACAGCTTAAATAATCTCTCAACGTAGCAACTACTCGTGCTCTACTTGCGCCAGCCAGCGAATCAAATATCAATATGCAGGGCCTATATTTAAATCATTAATTAAATTATATTAATTAAATATTAAGAATAAAATAAATTGTGCAATTGTGCATGATGCTCCCACTTACATTTTAACAGTTTCTTTTTGCGGTTCAACTTTAACTTGAACTTCAACTTGATTTTTCTTTTCTTCTGATTGATCATCCTCTTCTTCCTATAAATATAATACATTGTGTCATAATCAATTAGTTCAAAATGGAAATATTACTATTGATAGAATTTATCACCTCCTCTTCACTATACATTTCCATTTCTTCATCGTCGCCTTCAGCTTCGTCCCTTTCAGATCCATCATCCAGCTGATCTATCGTTATAGTCGTAGGTACAGGAGTGATTGTTGTAGAGCCAATTGTGACAGCTTTTGCTTTCAGTTCTTTTAACTTCTTACTCTTTTGTGCTGCTTTATTAACGTCATTTTCATTAGTTTTGGTAACACACGTCGAAATTTTCCCAACCAATCCAGGAAAACAGATAATAGCCAAGAACCAATGCGCACTACAAAAAATATTATTAAATTGTATTAAAACAATATGAGATATTACGTTACTGTTAATTTAAAATCACTTACTGTTCGTTAATAGGAATAATAATAAAATCTTTCTCAAATATATTGACATTTTTCGTCCACTTCTGCACTCTGGCGTGTCGTTTGGCGGCAGGTGTCATTGGCACATTACTTTCGGCAGCTTGGGCATGCGGACTGGTCAAACGTTTGTAAAAGTACGAACTGAACACATGAGTTCTTTGTTGATCAGACTCCGATAATACCTCTAAGGTTAAATACTTTAAATAAAAGTCTATAATCACGTCGTTTAAAAATTGGTCTTCGGCGAGACATAAATAATCTTCAGTGTTGATGGCTATTCCTCCTTTTGCAGGAGGTGGTGGATATACAGTTATTCTGTAAAAAGAAATTAAAGGTTTTATATTAAACATATTTGATACATAATTAAACATAATTGTATAACATTAAATTATCCAAGGATAAAAGTTCAATTGTTAAATGAGAGTCTTACGTTTGTATGCATTCAGTGACACCGACCGAATTTGGTATGACTGATCCTTGAACCTGTTTTTTTACAACATCTTGCGACTGCTGATTCTGTATAGAGAAATATAAATAAATATGTAAAAATATATACGCATACGCTATTATATGTAATTAAAATGTAATCTAATCAAATACATACATCCCTCGGCGATGCCCGTATAAGTATATCGTTTGCCTCTTTAGGATTCAATTCTTCTATTTTACCTCCTCGGGCAAATAATAATTTTAATGTTGCTCTTGAATCATCTGGTAACTTTTCTGGTAATAACGTAATACGTTTATGTGTTTGATCTAGAAAAAAAATATAAAATATTGTCAATTCATTAAAAATTTTGACATTTCTTGGCATATGTGTTTGTGGTAAAAATTAAATAATATTGTTAAGAATAATTGTAAATGTTTGTAAAAGTAAATGTTTTATATATATATATATATATATATATATATATAGTATAGATGTTTTCGTATACGTCAAGTAAATACCTTTTCCGGCAGGATCGTAATACGGTCCTTTTGGATCTTGCATTCCTAATAATTCACGTATCATGGCTCCTGTTTTTGTAGATGTATAAAAGAATAGCACTGGCATTCCTTTCCCATAATGAATTAATAACTTAACTATATCTTGATATTTGACATCCAAAGTAACAAAACTTGTAACTGTAAAATATTAAAATATTAATTAATTTTAATATTTTAAGCTTTTCTTTAGAACCTATATAAAAATAATGAGTGAAGGCAACTTACCATCTTCTAACAAAGGTACGCTAAATCTTACACCATTATAAGTAATCACTACTTTTTCTCGAGGATAATATTTATAAGATCCTATCCTGACTGTTCGACATTCTATAGCAATCTGTGTTAGTTGTAATTGTTCATTATCTAAAAAGCTCTGATTATCACATATTCCTAAAATACAATATTATCTCGTTATTGTACTTATACTATTTTATAGTATTAGTTAATCGTTGATAGCCATATGTCTTTCTTTGATACGTTACCTTTACTACTTTCTTCGATATTCGCCAAAAAATCGCTATATGAACTAAAAACAGAAGTGTTTGTAATTACTGGTTCTTTATCTAAAATGGTGTCCATATCTTCTGGTAAAGCGTTACTTGCATTGCCTGGAGCTACACTATTATTGAGGCATGCTACTTTTTTAGTCCTGCCCTCTTCTTCTTCATCGGACGATATTGTCAGACATTCTAAAAATTAATGATAAAATGTTAAGTTGTTAATGTTGCACATACATATTTTTCTCATAAAACACGTTATTATACCTGGCTCTTTATGAATAGGCTTTGGTTTTGAAGCTCTACCCTTTCCTTTCGGCCGCTTGCATGTAGGACCATCTCGTTCTATTTTCTCCAATTTTGCAGCGTTTCGTTCGTTGTTCTTCTTATAAAACATCTGTAAAGATACAGAGTTGTAATTGTATATCTACAAATCGCGCAAAAAGTGATGAAGGAAATTGTTGAGATAAAGGTATGCATTAAGATGATCGTTGTAAACTGCTTTCAATATGACCTGTAATGATATGGCAATGAGATAAGATAGTGTTTAGCTCTAAGAAGTTAGTTTCTTTATTAAATTCCATGGAGCATACTTCTTAGTAACTGTGCTGAAATGAGAGCGTTTTAAACTTAATATATTAAAAAAAGACTATGTTACTATAATGTGTATAATATAAAAATCCCAAACAATCTCAATTTGTTAGCCATTCATTGGTCACACAATCGATCATTATATCAGATGAGCATTGTAGTAATATACATATATCGGTCTTCTGGCACCGCAGTCAAAACCTTACATCGACTGACATCCCGGTCTCCTTCCTTTCTCTTATGGGTATCGACTTCACATCTTCAGAAAATTTTGTATTACATCGTTCACATCGGTTGAAGTAGAGTGAACTGTAGCCGCAGTGAGAACACAGAGCAAGCATTCCCTTGACCAAAATAGGTTCCTAGTAAATTACATGGTATACTTCGTACTTGTAGCATACTTCTGAATCATGTGATTAACGTCTACTCCTTTAATGTATAGTATTCTTATCGGTTGCAGCAATATAACAATATATTTGGATTGACAATTATTAATTACATTTTATATGTATTATCTATTTTCACGTTTCCACTCTTGCACACACACTTTATTATTTTCATATATCATAATATATTTATTCGTTATATCCACTAATATTTACTAATTACACTGGTTAACAAAAATAAACAAAAATAAACTCTTTTTTGTCACAAGAACTTAAATGGATGAATCTAATAAACTTTTTATGCTGAAATCTAATATATTTTTAAATTTTTTCTATCAAAGTTATTAAGTAATAATACATGATTTTAGTTTGACAAAATAAATCTCTTATAATAATAATAATATTAACTGTATAATAATAATACTAAGAATTGCATAATGTATCTCAACATGTCAGAATTTTAGGTTGCACGGTCTTTTTTAATTGACGAATGAGAATATATGTTTGCTATTATTATAACAAGTGTTTAATGTCCATACATTATTCACAAGAAATACAAACATTACTATAAAAAAAATACTAAAAATAATAAAATACGTTGAAATTGTAATATCAGAAATAACTGACATAGAGAGAGAAAGAGAGAAAAACTATGGGTGATAGAACAAATTGATTGCATATTTGAATTTAGAGTAAAAAATACACTAAAGAGACCACTTAATTTTCTTGTGACAAAAATCATATTGATTAGTATTATACACTTCTATACAATATATCAATCGAATACAATATCTATTATCATCATTAATATTAAAACAAAGAAATTGGCACAGTGAGAAAAATTATTGCCAGAAATTAGTGAACTGAAAATATAACGATATTTTTTAATAATTAAATATTAATTTTAGAAAAAATTTCAAATTTTAGAAAAATTAGATTTTGATATTTCAGATATATTTGTAACGTGTATAGATAAAATTAAAAAAAATTAATAGCATAATTATGCCAATATCCTTCTTTTATTTTAATTTCTTTATAACAAATCTATAAACTTACCTCAGAAGTTGATAGAGAAGTATTACTGTTTTCGTCTGAGGCACTAAAAATATCATCATTGTAATATTCTTTATTGATTGGACATAAAATTATAATATATTTTTGAGTGAACAGATTTTGATCGACTCAAGATTGATTAATGACGTCGTTGCACCATCTCCGGGATGAATTAAAATCCGTTCATTCAAAAACGCTATCAACAAATATGAGATAATTTGAATATCTTACTTGGTATTTTGAGATAAATTATCTGTGGAGCTTATATTTTCCTGAGAATTACAATCGCCATGATCACTATTATCAAAAGATCCCGAAAGTGTTCCAGTGCCGACATCCACTATGTAGTTTATATTTAGCGAAGAATCGTTTACCAAAGAGACTACTGTTTTACTGCTGAGTGAAATGCTTACCTATAAATATTACAATATATAAAATGTATAAAACAGTCGCAAAAATTGTGATCATTATTACTTAATCATTATATCAATAACTCTGAGATTCATATAGATCATCAAAGTAGTATCCAAATTATTACACTTATTTAATTTATGCGATTTATTGTACAAGAAAACTTTTAATCTGAGATATAAATGTTGATAAATATACATTAATATGATATTCTGAAATTTTTATTCTTGAATTCTTTCAATTGCGTAACAATTTATCGATCATCTTTTACTCGATTTTTGATTATATTGATATACTTTTTTAACAAATTTTTAACACTGCATAGACGTACCTCACCCAAGACTGCACGTACCTGATCTAACAGGTCTTGCACAGTACAGTCCTCATTTGGTATATCAAACCCAATTAATCTCTGTTCTCTCATAGTTATTACTAACATTTTCGCTGTATTTCCTTTAACTTGATGTTTAACTTTGGTATTTGCTGGATCATGAATAACTTTTTGGAAATAAACAATGCTCTCATTTGGACTGTTTTGTTCTAATCGTGATGGAGATTGTTGTGTCCTATTTCCTTTTTCTTGCGCGCATTCCGCAGGATTGACTTCCGTACTAGTACTAGTAACGTGCGTATTATGTTCAGTTGAGGAAAGACGCGACGTTACTGCAGATGACTTTTGTTGTTTTTGTGGAGATATCGAAACTCGCTGTTGCACTCTTTGTTGCACAGAATTTGAGGTTACCGAGCGACGTGTTGTATTACTCAGTGAGGATTGAACAGATTGTTGTGAAGCGTTAGGAAGTTGTCGTTGTGCGTTATTTTGTTGAAACCTTTGTTTCTCAATATGCTGTTTTTGTAGTTGTTTAAGTTTAGCGTACTTGATTTGCTCAGTCAAATACTTTATGTCCGAAGATCTTACCGGCGCTTTAGAAATTTCCGGCGTTTTACAGATTTCAGGAGGAACTATGGCAACAGGCCGTACATGCGAAGAAGTACTAATTGGCTTGATAGTTATGTTCTGTTCCTGCGAACCGATAACTTTACTGCAAACGGACATACCAGATTTGGAGCGTGCTATATTAGAATTTTGAACTCGATTTTCCATTGTAGTTATTACATTGACTTCATCTGGAGTCTGAGATGTAACACCTACTTTCACACTGTTTGTCAGTGGTCGAGTTTTATTTTGACAAGGTTTAGATAGTTTTTTTTCTGCTTGTCCAGAATTAAATGATCCAGAATTTACATTAATAGATGACTGAAAACAGACATTGTTAGATTATAAAATTCAAAAAAACAAACTTAAATTTTGCCTAAAAATTATTATAATATATAAACTCACCGGTGATGTAATATTATTTTGTATATTACTTCTAGTTGAAATGGCAGTCTGATTTTTCTCTTGTAACAACGTACTTTGCTTTGTTGATGTAGTAGAATTAGCGTTTTGCATTTTTATCCACTGTACTTGTTGTCCTTCGTTCTTACATTCTGTCTTAGCACCTATAAAAAAATGGTTTATTTAGAAGATCATAAGTAGCAAAAATATCAGCTACCAGTGTTATTTATACAATGCTGAAGTATAACAACAGTTTAATAAATTTAACAGTCAGTTTAGCAACAGATTAAATATTTTATTAAACATATTAATGTAGCATGTTTGAGTGCTAATAATTACCTATATTATCTACAATGCTCACAATATTTTCATTAACATGTGCATTCGAGGTATTAGATTTTAATATTCCTTGAGTTGTAGCTATATCAGTTGTTGTTTTGATTATGAAAACATTTTGCCTGAAAATAATAAGCACTATTACAAATATATTATTCCACAAGTATATGTTACGTTAGTTGTGAACATACAAAATATTAATACACTAAGATCATACAAACATAAAAAACCATTTTATTTCAGACATTATTTATGATAAGTGATTAGATGAAGATAATGAGGAAGAGAGGTGCATTGGTATAAAAACTTTTAAAAATTTTATTACTATTTCTGGATGCACATATAAATTTTTAAAATTAATAATTCAACGAGAAATATTAATAGAATACCCAAATCTACATGTACAAGATATGTGAAATAAACCAGAAAATTTAGAATAGAGTTAGAATTTTAATAAGAAATCGCTTATAGGCCACACATGTTAAAGATGGATTGCATCAACTATTGTATATTATGCGTCATATATTATTTTATAATTTATCTAAATATTCAATTTTTATGTATTACATATTACAATAACTTTTAGTCATCTCTATATTAATTTTAAAATGATCAATATTTTAGATAAACAAAAAAAGTATTTAAATCTTATAATATAAATTAATAGGTGCAAATAGATGTAATATCTCAAATTTAAAATAAAATAAATATAACTGCAATAAAAATATATATTCAACATTTTTATATTTAATTTCTATGCATCATATTCTATTAAATGTAGTTTATATATATATGTACTTTTTAAAATTAATATAAATTTTTTTATACAGATACAATTTATTACCTACGTGTACAATACACTCGTAATCAATACATTAGTAGGCAGATTTATAATAAAATAGCTTTGATATCATTGAAGCACACATGTACAAAAGATTTTAAAACTTTCCACTTTAAAAATTATATAATTATATATGTTATATAAATTTTTAATTTTTTTATATTACTTATAAATATTATTAAGGTACGTTTTGTTATCCTATGAATAGATTTACATTTTTATATCCAATATTATCAAATAATTATTAATATATTGCTATATATTTAAAAAATATATATTGAATTATTTATAAAACGCACAAAAAATTTAGATGTTTAAAATTATATTTTATTTAATGCTTTATCAAGAAGTCATACCTAAAATTTAATTTAAAAATAGCGTGATAGAAGACTACTTTAAAAAGCATCTTTAAAAAGCATCATTATGTATCTCTGCTGTGTTTTATGCACTCCTGATATTAATACATGCAAAAATTTAATCAAATCTTCCAGTTCAAGTTTAAGTTATTCATAAAATTGAGATACTTTTTACGAATCAAACATTTTAATCAGAATGTATGGCCTATTATATGGAAAGGTTAAGAAATATACATTTTATAAATTAAGATATAAAAATGTTTGCACTAAAATATTATTTTAAAACTGTTAAAACATTCACTTCTCACAACTAATGTGTGTATCACATACCAATACTCCATCTATTTCCTCTAAAATAAATATTAAACTTAAAATTATAAGTTTAATTAAATTCTTGAATCTTTACTTGTCATAAAATATCGAAAGTTTAGAAAAATAATTTTTTGGATACATTCAAATTGAAATGCATGCTGTACAAGTTACCCTTGTTCCAATCGCGTTGCAGTTATTTGATTCCCTAAATTAATAGTTTGTGGGGAGAATATTGCCTGCCTGTTTTGTGGTGTAGCAGTATAAGTCACAAGCTGTTGTGAACCATTACCGCTGTTATTAACATTTTCAACAACTAACTGAACCCGCTGTCCATCTACAGTGCAGATTCTCGGTACTTCTTCAAATGTCAAAGCACCACCAGCATTAGTCACAAGATTATAATATTGTGCCATATTATTTAAGACTTTACTGCTCGCAAATATGATCTTTTTTCTCAATTAACAAAGACCAAAATTTAGATTGCTGCTAGTAGTGTGTTAGACCAATCCATCAATATCATGTCTATAGAAGAATCTGCTAGTTTTGTGCGATACGACCTATGAAAAACAATCACAAATATATTTGACTTTTAACGCGTTTAATTTTTAATATTTAAAAAAAAAGTAATTATCTATTTTGCTTATTTTAAAAAATAAGTAGAACAATAAAATTACTAACAAAATTATTAAAATTAGAAAGAGATTTATTAGAGAATTATTAAAATTAGAAAATATATGTATGTAAATTGTACTCATTAACATATAACAAATCATATATATGTATAAGAAATCACAACCATGTGTGTTGCAAGATAAGCTTTAAATACATAAACATTACCAACATATATAGAAAATTATATATCTACAAAAATTATGTATTTATGTAGTTGTGTAATTAAAGTCTGATTTTGTATTTGAATATTTAATATGCACATTCCGTAATATATAAAGATAAATTATATTAGAATTACAAATTACTATTAAAATATTAGATAGAGCAAGATTTTCAGTCTATTAAAAGCAGATTTTGGTAAGAATACAAATTTAAAAATTTAATTCTCATAGCATTAATAAATAAAAACTGTTCATCCTTTAAAGCAGTCTTCTTAAAAATTAATTTCTTTGAAAAACTCTAAGCATAAATTATATTCATTACGAATAGTTATAGCAACAATACATGTATTGCTAATATTTCTATGCATCTTTCTTCATTTTGAGGAAATCACAAATTTTTGTACAACATGTGCTTCAAAGACTGTATCCTAATTTAAAAAATTTGATCACGAGATAATGATGTATGTTTTATATAAGTTATACAATGTGTTAATTTGTTTATCAAACCAACATATTGCAAATCACAATAGTATGTATTATAAAATATACTTGAAATAATTATAATATAAGCATTACAGTAAACAAGAATGTTTTATAGTGCAACAAAATTATAATGTAAATCAATGTACGACATTGAATTTTTGATATTTTATGCATGTGTAAAGTGTGTGATTCATAACACAATCAATTATTAAAAACATATTCTTTCATAAATTTAAAGATTATGTTTTATAGTGCAACAAAATTATAATGTAAATCAATGTACGACATTGAATTTTTGATATTTTATGCATGTGTAAAGTGTGTGATTCATAACACAATCAATTATTAAAAACATATTCTTTCATAAATTTAAAGATTATTTAATTGCTCGTCTATATGTGATATGGATGTAGCAACATAAAATACAATTTGAGTTACGTTCCAATAAAATTTGGAATATACGTATCTCATAGTAAGCATGAATATGATGTTAACAAATTTGTCTTAAGTTTCTAATAAACAAAATTAAGAGTTTTTTAATAATGCGTGTATTATATTAACGTGCAATTATTTTTTTCCATGAAAAAAAAGGAGGTATATTTTATATAAAATATACAATTAATATAAAATTATCAAACTTAATCTATTATATCGAACCAAGTAATTGATGTATAATAATTTAATATATATAAAATTTAAAAAATATTCAGTAAATATTAATATAAAATAATTTATATTAATTTTTTATATTGTCAGATACAAGCATAATTAAATAAATAGTTTTGATAAAAGATATAAATAACAATAATAATTATTCTTGACAATTTACTTATGTAAAAAATATAAAGAGTGAGAAAGAAGATAACACTAGCACCATCGTTAATATATTGTTATAATTCAAAAACACATCTAAAATGAGTTTAAAGACTGATCATAAATAATTAGGACGAAACAATTAACCTCACAAACACGTAGAGAATACTTTGCAGTGGATTCTAACGCAAAAATTACAGCTTTAATTTTCGTGGAAGCTAACATAAGATCTTATCCCGTTCTGGAAAATAACTCACAATAGAAAAACAGTGAGTTTAATCGTTTATCATCGGATTAGCTGCTAATAAAGACGATGGTCTTGTAAAGATGTACGGCAAACGACAGTTTAAACTCTGCAATGATCATAACCTAAAAATCAGCGAACAAAGATAGCCACGATCGCACTTATGTCTCTTTGACACGATTGTCACAAAAATCGAACAAGTCTCGACTGAATGTATGAAACAAATACTAATGACAGGAAACGAGGGGTTCGCACGGTTTTTTTACAACCGAATTAAATTATCTGCGGAACTTTATGCTGCGAGAACTTTCATAACCTCGTCGCACAGATTATAAGATTATTTGCACAGACTGAGCGCCGGTACTGGATATTATCTAATCTGCGAAGAACGGTATGAATGACAGTTCAATTGCAGAAAAACATGCTGCTTTTTTGAACACGTGAACGAGACACACGGCAGCAGAGACGACAGCGGCGATTTCTTTCTGTGCACGCATTAAATAACTTTCAATTCGAACGAATATATAACAGCCAATACTCACAATTCTTTGCATATGCTGTTTTGCTGACACGTAAAATCAAATTGTCAAAATAATGTGCCGTACGTCTCAACTCGTTCTTCTTCGTTTTTACTTCGCTGAATTCGGCGCGAGTAAATAACAACTATACTTCGCCATTTTACGCATCCACTTGTATGAGCGTATCCGAATCGCGCTGGCGACCACTGCGACCGACACGAATGGACGGAACGTTGAACAGGAAATTGCACTAACGCGCAAGGTTCTGCGCCTAACTTCCGGGACGCCATTCGACCGCGAAATTCGATCACGAGTCATTGCACCAATGCTAACATTTCCTTTTGATGTGGAACACATTATGTACTTTTTAGGGTAAAAACGCAACAAGATAAAATATTAAAGATTCCTAAGCTTAAGGGTCTTAATCTACATGTACTTGTATGTAAATCGCATAAAATATGCATAGAAAAACATATTTTATTTAAATATTATGTTCATGTATATTTTGTGAAACATAGCAAATTTAAAAAGTTTTACATACAATTTTATTGTACATCAACGATAATTTATAATAATTATAAATATAGATTTCATCTATAGAAAATAAAAATATCAAGCTTATGTATATTAGTTTAGCTACATCACAATCATTTATACCCATTATCTAAGGTGTTCGCATCACAAGCTCCATGTTTTTATTCGCTCCAATCTATAGTGTACGTAATGTAGTATTATAGATTGAAACATATTGAAGCGAGTAGGAGCATATTGGAGCATGCAACGCAAACAAAGCTTTATAGACATATCTTTATTCACAATTTCTTCGTACAGCATTTACTATATTGTTATGAAATAAAGGAAGTATTCTTTCTCCACTATACTTTAAAGTATAAGATTCAAATGGAAAAAAATTCGAAATTAAAATAGGCAAGCGAGTTTTTATCCCAAAAATGGGCAGTTGATTACGCTCGTTATTTTCGATTACAGTGTAACAATAAGCTAACTGATACGTGCTTGTAATATCGGCGAAACTGTAAACTATTTTGCTATCGCATATTTTCAAAGGATTTAATTTACAAGTAATGATCCTCGATATATCAAGTTCCTGAAGAAATAATATACCTGAAAACAAAATACGTGTTTTCAACATTGTCATTGTAAACATATAATGTGTGTGCGTCTGCCTAGGTGTGTGTGTGTGTGTGTGTGTGTGTGTGTGTGTGTGTGTGTGTGTGTGTGTGTGTGTGTGTGTGTGTGGTGCGCGCGTATGCGTGCGTGCGTGATGAAAATGTGTGCGGACTCACCATTTTTCAATCTCAGGAATTCCTTATGTCTCGCAATAAGTAAATGAAAGAACGCTTGACAAACGGAATAAAATACAACGTGTTGTTTCATATCATCGATATGCTCTGAACACTCTTGTATAGAGATATAATTATGTATCCATTTTGTCAATTTAACCATCATCAGTTTCATTAGTCTGAAAGAAAATAGCCTTAGATAAAGTAAACTCTATAAAATTGTTGTAATATTGACATTATGATAATTACCCAGAAGGAATAAATGTAGCAGAAGCGAGCAAGCTAGAAATATAAGACACAGCTGATTGCCGTGTAACTGATGCTACATTTGGATCAATTACTTTACGCCACAACCAATCGATAAAAGTTTCCGCGACTACAGCTTTGAAACTGCAAATGTAGAATGCAATATATTGCATATACTGACTGGCATGTGTAGGTAATATTACTGTTTCGAATGCTCGGAGAACATCAAAGTACAATATTCTTGTGGATTTTATCTTCAGAACTCCATTTTCGAAACAAAACTCGTGCATATATTTAAGAAATAATTCCATACACATATCCAGCGTATGTGCAGATGGATGCACAAGATTTGTTTTATCTACATCATTATTAGTCTGATTATCAACTGTTTCATCAATACAATCCGTTAAGTCATCATCACCTTCCTCATCACCTGCTTCTTCACGAGGTATGTTGACATCCAACACCATCAATCTAAGACACAAATATAATTTATTCTCTAATCAAGAAAATTTCATGTTTTAACTATCTATGAGATTTATACCTATTAATAATTAAGGATAAAATGTCTGATCTCAGTTGAGGTGCATAATTCAATATTTGTAATAATGCATAGATATAAACTTCATGTGTATAAGTGCCATGTATAACATATGGAAATTGTAATCCAAGGGTTTGCAGCAAAACTTTGTTCGACCTAAAAATTTACAATATATATATATATATATATATACATAAAATATATATATGATGATAGGTCAAAATTTGATATTTATTTTTTTATATCGTACATTGGAACCACTTCCAAAATCTTATGCAATATGTCATGTATGTGGTTTAACTTTTCTATATCTTCATTTTTAAGTTTTCCAGCTTCATGTTCTACGTTACTATCTTCAACTATAACAATAAAAATTATAACAAATGTTTTATTACCTATAATGTTAGAACATTATTATTATTATTATTAAATATATTTACCTGGTTTAAACAATTCAACTAGATGATTTATTACAGTTTTTATATGAGGAGTCTGCATACATACTAAATCTTGTAAAAAGAGTTTATAAGTAGAAATAACTCCTGGCGATCTATTTGTCCATCGAATTTTAAGAAGAACTTGAATAAATAATTCATGTTTAGCATCTAACATGGATACACATTGCCTTGTCTCAACTAAAAATTCTGCTAAATCACAATCCTAAAAATAAGAAACAAAAAAAGCTTTGAACAAAACATCTTACATCGTATTATGTAATTGATTAACTCTGATATATAAACTATATAAGGCATATTAAAGTTATAAAAAATTATTTTTAAGCAAATTTTGTAAATCCCTTTACTTATTCTTACCTTTATAGCATCTTCTCGAAGTAATTGTATTAACTTCTCGTATTCTTTAATGTCATTACCTGTTTCAAAATTATATAGTATACTTTTAATATCTTTTGGGAGTTTAAAGTATACCCTATTAGATTGCTTAATAATTTGTTCTCTAACGCCAGGGCCTTTTAGTAGAGATGACACACTGTTGACCCTCGAGGATACCACAGACATCTGTTTGAAGTACACATATATACATAAAAATTCACCAATTCTGACTAATAACTTATCTTACTAATTCTATTTAAAATTAACAATAATTGAGTAATTTTAGCCAATACAATAATATTACATTGTATAAAATATCAAATGCGGCAACAAAAAAAAGGTTATATGTATGTCAAGATGAATTATGATGAGTTACATACCTTGATAAATATGGTTTTCACTTTATACAATATTCAATCTTTTTGTAGATTCTTGCACGCATATTTATTTATGTTTTGGAAATATACTATCTTGCAAATATCATGCAAACAATTTATCGACCACGCGCTTCCAGCCACATGTATAACGGAGACAATGGAGGTGCGAATATCGCCATGGATTTAAAAGTATAGTTAGTATGTTCATCGTACAATACTTTGTGAAGTCATGCTGGTATCAGAGAGAAGACTGAGAGTGGACATGCCCGCATTTTACCATTGAGTAAAAAGAAACAGGAGGGAGCATTTGGTCGTAAAAGTGCGGACGAAAGTGACTATATAAAGTGGTCGCTCAAGATGGCCGCTCAAGGGCGCCAATATTGAATGACTTGTTATGTTTAATTAGGAAATAATGTACAATTAAAAGAAAATAATTATAATATGCAACAATAATACCAAATTTTAATGGCGTTTTTCATTGGGATTGCACTCGTGCAGTATTTCCATAAGAGCAATGTTAAAATCTAAAATCTAAATTTATATTAAATCCTTCATCCTTACAAAAATTTATCCATGCATTTCTTTGATCCGGATTTTTCGAAAACCTGTTTGTGAGTGAAAATTATTTAGTAATTATTGTGAATCTACAATTTCACAATACTATACATATGATTATAATCTCCAAAATAAAAATCTCATTATTGTTGATAATACTAACCGATGAAACGTTATTCCATGATTTCGAGCTGCTGCTGTTATGCCACAAGCTCTACAGTATACCATTTTGATCGTTTATTTTCATACACTGTTGCATAAAAGACTATACACTGCATATTAATGCGTACGGCGTACGGTGTACGGTATGCCGCTTGCCGCTATGCTCGAGCATTCCCTCTCACTTTCAAAAAGTGGTCGCTCAAGATGGCTGCCATGACGTACATCCGTCCGCGGATTTACCTAGTCCTGGCTAGTATATGCTCCCTCCTGTTTCTTTTTACTCAATGGTATTTACATATATGTAGTAAAATAATCAAATTTACTAAAGTATCCATGACTTCATTGGTCAACAACTTGCTTATTTTTAATTTTTACTACGTTATCTTAAGCTAGCGACACACGGTACGTTTTTGCTTACTGGATTGATGGCGAGCTAGTAAAATACTAGAAATGCACCATACAGCATACAGTGGCTGCGTTCCGTAAAGCACATATGCGCGCATGTATCTACAGTATTGGCCGGAGCACAGACTTTTGCATACGCATAACTTCATATAATGTATGCTATACGAAGTTATTACGAATAATTTTTTGATACATTCAAATTGAAATGCATGCT